GAGGTCCCTTCCAGTCCCTAATGTTCTGTGAGTCTGTGATACCAGAGGTCATAAGACTTCATTTCCAGTGTTTTGGAGCAAACAGTGAAGTGTTTGGATTTCATGTTATGTTTTTCACTTAAGCTATTCCTTGCACCTGTAGTTGCACCATTAGAGTTAGCTCTTAATCTGGAAAGGATTTGACTATTTTAAGATTGTTTGTTTTGTTGTGGTTTTGTTTTTTTTAAACAGTAATGCAATCATTATTGGATTCTCTGATCAACTGGTATCTGTTCTTCCAGCAATTTAAGCTATTCCTGTGTTTACAGGCATGAAGATACGCACTTGAGTGATTCCATTTGAACATTTTGTATAAAGCAGTACACAAGCACTAACATTACAGCTCAGCATGATAGAACTTCATAACGAATACGGCTTATGACAATTTTTAGTGGACTTTGTTAAGAATTGAACAGTTCTGGTAATGTATGTAAGGTTTTGTACAATTCCTGCTTTCTTAGTGTTGGTAAATACAAAGCTGTCCAAGGTGCAACTAGAAGACTAAGTCTGTATCCCCCCCAGTGCTGCCTCCCCCCAAGTTAAATTAGGTTGAAGTTGGATGTTATGTTCTGCCAGCAAAGTCTCAACGGAGTTTTCTAATGTGTTCCTAGAATTACAGCAATGCATTAGCCAGTATTTTCAGATGCATTTAACTTTTGTGGTGGAAAGAAATTGACTTAATCTCAAAAAAGCCTGAGCCAAAATTTGGGGAAGCTTTAATGTACTCTCTTGATTCTGTAGATTTACTTTATTTAAGCTTAGTATAAAGTCCTTTGTTTTACTGTAATTAGTTAAATTTTAATGGTTTATACATCCACACTTCTGTCTCAGAATGCTGTGGATAGGTGAAGGAAGTCCAAGTAAATGTAGTAACTAACTGTTTCAGTTCATAAGTATTTCACCCTTTCTTTTTCGTACTCACGTTTTAACCGGCTATGATAGCTGTCTGCTAATGTAGTACTAAGCAGAGGTAGCGGTAAGAGAGAGAAAAGGGAAGGAAATTCAGAATTGTGATAATCAGAACAGTGCTAATTTGGCTACTGGTGGTTATTTCCTGCTGTGTAGGAACATGCGTGTGGTGAGCAGTTTGGAGTTCACAATCCGCTTCTGCTCAAGGTGAGTGATGATTACCCATGTAAACTGGAAGTTTTAGCTTCCTTATTGGGGTACAGCATGTCGATAACATCCTGGTGGCATTACAGTAGCTAAAATACCAGAATTCAATGTTCGAATGCAGTTCCTTTTCACTACTTGCTGGAGCTCTCAAGCCTGATTCAATTCTGTCAGTAGTTCTGTAGTAAAAGAATCTACATGGCTGCTACTAAGTGTTTTAAAACTAGTTATTTGTGGTATGTAACTCATGAACTGGGAACTGAATATTATAATTTCAAGCTCTTTGTGATGAACTGTCAACTGCAATGATTCTTAAAGTATCTGGTTGCTTGTTTGGTTATTTCCTGGTGCAGGCAGTGATTTAAGAGCTACATCAATCATACAGACAGCAAGCTTCAGAAGCTCAGACTTTCTGTAGAAGCTTTCCTCCTCCAGTAATTGTCTTCTACCTGTTTTGCCAAGGAATGAAATGTTGGGTTTTAATTCCTTTTCAAGACAAAGCTTATCAGTTGGGGCAGGGGTTTTGATGGTGAGATACAGGTTTCTAATGAGGATTTGTGGAATGTGTTCTTTTCTCCACCTTCTTACTATGGAAAGAACTCTTTGGACTTAAAGATTTCTTAAGCCAAAAAAGTGGCAGTATAGCTGTAGCAATCGGGAAAACTTGTGCATTGCAGTTTTGTCTCTGCAGTCTCATGCTTGGCTGCCTCTTTGTGTCAATGTGCTCTTTCCCCAACACAGCACATGGTATGCTGATCCCTTCTCGATCACTGCATTGGGGAGGATCATAGCAATCTCATCTACTGCTTGACCAGATACTGAACGTGAATTCACCAAATACACGGGCAGATGAATGTGCCTCAGTGGACCAAATACACTAATAAAAGCTTGATTTGGAAAGTGCCTTGAGAGACTGTATAAGCTATCTTCCTAGCTTCACTGTATCCATTATCACCTCTAGTAGAGGTTTGTCTAACAGGTTCTTAAAGATTTACAACATGAGACTTGATAGCTTTGCCAAGCAATCTGAAACATGTGTTTATCTTCTCTTTTGAAAGGTGTTGCTTATCTGTTATCTGAGTCTGTTTTCTTCAGCTAAGGGCCGTCTCTTCTGCAGATGTGGAAAAAATGTCCTTTACTGAGAGCTTGATCCATCCGGGGGGAAAAAAACAAACAATCTTACCTGTTTTATGGAGTTTCTTCAGCATAAACATCACTGCATTTAATGTTTTGGATCTTGCATCCTGGGCTTTCTTGCCTTTCTCACTTCAGATTCTCCTTTAGTCAGTTCATCTCCTCTGAAGTGCAGCACCCAAAAAAAGATGTAGGACTCCAAAATAAGTCTTGCTGTGGCAGACTATTTTGTGAACTGCATGTGTGTGTGCATACTTGGTGTATTTTTAACAAATTGTCACTGATTCATGTTTGGATTGTAAGATGGTCATTTAAGTTCTTACCTGGAGTTGTTGCCTAGCTGTTGAGCAGGCAGGGTTGGTTTTTTTGTAGCTAGCTAGTTCTGCTTATTAAGGTCTGTCTTAGCTGATGTTCTACTGATCAGTGATGAGACGTGTTCCTGCAGCAGACCTACCACTGGGCTTGGGTTGCCTTTTCTCCTTCCCTCACCACTGGCTGAGGAAGCCCACAGCTTGAACTTGGATTGCAGCTGCCTGCCTGAACTGTTTATAGCAGTCATCAGCTGTAGAATTACTGGTGATCATCCTGTTTACCGAGGCACTGTGGTAGGACAGATCTTGTGTGAAGCTGTACTTTTCCTAGGTTTGAAGTCTTGTAATTACTGAACTTGGCTAGTCTCTTGAACATATCAACGAGCAAACATTTGCTTCCCCTCTGCATTTGCGAACTTCAGATCTGTGCTGGGACTGCTGAATTAGTATTCTTTCATAGAAGCTCTTAGTTTTATTTTGTTTTGAAAGCAGATGAATCATTTTATCTGGAACTTCACAGGAAAAGTCTGCTTCAGGCTGTTATCTGCCACTGCCAAACTTCAGTGGTTCAGGCTGAGGTTGTCCAAGCTGTAAGTAATTGATGATAACTTTGCAGTGGAGATTGCTTGCAGCTTTAGCTGATTGTTGGGTTTAGCTCTCTGAAGGGAGCTCTACTTATGCCTAATTATAAGGAAGAGACTATAGATAATAGACTATAGATCAGTTAACAGCATAGTTGAAACTCAAAGACTATCTAAAAATCAGTGAGAGTTGGGTGTATGTTTTTTCCACTCTATTAAACTGCCATGCAATGGTTTCATGTCTCTTCTATGATCTACATACAGGCATTTTTTTTAGTACCCATACAGCATTTGGTAGTAAGATACTACAAGTGCTACAGAACAAGCATAAGAAGCTCACACAGAGCAAATAATGTGGTAGGTATAATCCTGCATTTAAGAAAACAGAAATACTGATTGTGTAGGGGTGGCTTGCTCAAATTAAAGTTCTCCTGCTGTCCTTGCCCTTTCCTAGGACATACAGCTGAAACTGCATGAGGAAATCATGCAACTTCTGTTGATGCCTAAGGGAAGCTGGGTGAGGAGGACAAGACATAGAACAGACAAGTTAATTAAGTATTTGTAAGCCTGTTAATCTAAATTCTTTTGAATAAAATAATTCTGCAGTTTTTCCAGGGGGGGCAATTAGGGATTTTTCTGCCCTTGTGTCTAGGATGTCACAGCTTTTTTAATAGAGAATTAGAATTGAGGAAGAAAGCAGTTAAAAGGTTCTAGAGATCGTCTTTTCCCTGTGACACACCTAGGGTGTCTTTTCTAATGTCTGCAGGTTGCATTTTCTGTCTCCAGTCACTTTTTTGCTCACTGTTTTGCCAAATGTTATACATTAGCCTGACCTCAGATCAGTGAGACTTTTTCCATGGGAGTAGAGATGACCACAAATGATGCATTTCAGTGACTTTTTAACTATGGCATGGATATTCATATCTCCTTGGTGTAACTTTTCCCTGGAAAGTTGAGGATTGCCTTACATGAGGGTTCCTGTTACACTGTCTGGGTGTCTCATTTGTGTTTGTAGGTCAGTAGTCCTTGTACAGGTGAGCTTTAAGACTTACATGAGCATACTGCAAAAGCATCAATGCCCTGTGATGCAGTAGAATTTGTTGTAAAGCAGTTGTTAATTCTTGCCTCTTGGCTTGTTTTAGGTCTTAGCAGTGTGAGTTAGCTTGTAAAAGTGGTAATGTAGATATTAACTGCTTTCCTCTTCTCCGAAGTTTTGTCCAGACATTGTGTGTTGTTAGACTCCAGCACTTGGAAGGACCTAAGGAGACATTTTGAGGATAACTGTGTAATTGGAAATGTATACTTATGGAAACTAGTATTTCAGAATAACTTCTGAGTAACTATAGTTACCTTCTTATTAATTAAGTATGCTGTTGACTGCTTACATCAAGACCTGAAACTGCTTTTTCCTTTTAGACAAGGAGAATCAAACTGCCTCCTAGGTAATCCCAAATATTATTTTTTAACAAATACCATGTATGATACCATTCTCCATCTCTATTTTAGAAAATCTTGGAATATCTGGAGTCCATATGGCTATGTATGATGAAGATATCTTGAAAAATCCCTTTTATTTGGCCATTCAGAAGCGGCGTCCTGATCTTTGCAGCAAAGTTGCGGAACTTCATGGTATTGTAAGTATAAATAAGTAGATTTAAAAGCTGCTTGTTACATAGTAGCTATATGAGTTTAAATCATATGGTTGCTACGACACATGTAAAGATAACAACACAGAATCACAGAATGGCAGGGGTTGGAAAGGACCTCAAAAGATCATCCAGTCCAACCTCCCTGTCAGAGCAGGATCACCTAGACCAGGTCACACAGGAACATGTCTGGGGGGGTTTTGAATGTCTCCAGAGAAGGAGACTCCACAACCTCTCTGGGCAGCCTGGTCCAGTGCTCTGTCAGCCTCACAGTGGAGAAGTTTTTCCTTGTGTTCTCATGGAACCTCCTATGTTCCAGCTTGCACCCATTGCCCCTTGTCCTGTCATTGACTGTCACTGAGAAGAGCCTGGCCCCTTCTTCCTGACACTCGCCCTTTACAAATTTATAAATATTAATGAGGTCAGCCCTCAGTCTCCTTCTCCAAGCTAAAGAGACCCAGCTCCCTCAGCTGCTCCTCATAAGGGAGATGCTCCACTCCTTCAATCTTTGTGACCTTGCACTGGACTCTTTCTAGCCAGTGCAAACCTACAAAACTTGAAAGTGAAGCCAAGCAACTTGCAGTTTAAGTTGCTTGTTATTTGCTAATATGGACCTCTTGATGTATTGCATGATTAAAGGTCAAAGTTGGTGTTATTTCTAAACAGGAAGGTTATATTTTTTCTGCTGTGAGCTGAAGTTACATATTCTCCTATTTGCTTGTAACTTAAAATGGAATTGACCTCTTGAAATTCCTGATGGGTATACAATCACTCATTTCTGACAGCATTTTACGTAACAAAATAAAGTCATTAAACTGAGCTGGAATAAAAATGTAGGTCCTTAGACTTCTAATCTGGGTATTCTGTAGTTAGTCTTTATCCAAAATGTGGAGACTCCATTAAATTTGGAGGTTATTGTTATGCAATTTTAAAATTAAGCCTTAAGTTTCACAGGGTTCTTTCAGTTGTGCGTTACTTGAGATGATGTGATCAGCTGAAGCGCTAAAATCTGTTGACCAGTTCTGTCCGTATTGCAACACCATTTCTGAAATCTGAGTACTGAAAGAACGACTTGCTTCATGCTTCTCCTCCTTGACAATGAGAATTTCTTTCTTTCTGGTGGTGGTTAATTTTTAGTTTGAAAATATACTTCACTTTTATTAGCTGCCTAATTTTAAGTCATTTAGGTCACTCCTTCTAATATTGTTTGCTTCAGTTAAATCTGTCATCCTTTTTTAGATAAGTCTCTAAATGAAACTTCTAGGTTAACCACCAGACTGTCTGTCAATGGCCTTTCCTTTGTATTTAGTTAAACAAAAGCACCTATAATTGCTCTACACTTGCTAAATTACTAAATGTCTATAATTGCTTGCCTTTAAATGGTAAAAGCTATTGATGTTTAGCTCGTGATAATAGCATTTCTTTCTAAAGCATGATCTAACTTTTTTAGGTGTTAGTTCCATGCAAAGGAAGCCTTTCAAGCAACAATCTTTCTACCTGCCAGTTTGAATCTTATGTTCTGAAGCCGCTAGAAGAAAATTTTCAGACCTTAAATGGAAAGGTATTTCTGTTTTGATATCTGAATATAGCTTGGGGACACTCCAATAAATGATTCACTGCAGTTATGACTGATAGTATGAACTAATGGTTACAGGAGAGGTAGCTAGGAGTTAGAGCTAACTGGCAATAGCATGTCGCCCATCTAAGCCAAACTTCTTGGGGATATACTGCTTTCCAGCAACAACTGTATTTTGGCCTGTGCACAAGAATAGTTGTCCTGTTCAGATGGTGACACTGCCTCTGACTTCATCTTACTATTTTGGCAAAGCAACTTTGTCACTATTTGTGTTGTGGCTGTTAGCAATTTTGTTGTGTGGCAGAAGAGCCTTTATCACTTGGTTAAGAACTGTCTCTAGCTTTCAGACAAATAGTAGCCTGCTTACCTTGTACACAAAAGCAAGTTCACCTGGTGCCTGATCTATTAGTTCAATAGAGATTGACTAATGTAGCAGCAAGCCAGGATAACCAATGCTAACACTGCATAGGATCACATTTTGTCACTTGTAAATTTGCAGTACAGTTTGAGATCTTGCACCTGTTTTCAGGCTATCATCTGGATCTTCCTACTGCAAATGTCTCACTAGAGATGCTTGAAGATAAAGCTGAGCATGAGAAATATAGACACAATTTGTGCTGTTTTTCTGAAGCTGGACTTAGGCACCAATTCTAAGTTGTTTTTCAATTTCCCTTATCCTAAAAGTCTAAAATCTACAAATAGTCACTTAAACATTGGAGGTTGTCTGAAACCTCCTCTAGTAGTAGACCTTTAAAGAAAGTAGGTATAGGCAAGGTTTTGCTTGCCGTTGTGGACTGAAGGAGTCTGTTTCAGTGCCTACACAGCATGAGAGTCTGAAATCTCTTGAATCCGGGGCTTGCTTATCTTGCGAGATTCTCTTCTTTCCCTGGAAATGTAACTATGCAATACAGAAGTCAAAGAGTAACTTTCTTCTGACAGAGTTTTACACTTGATCTGGTTTTTGTTTTGTTTCAGGAGATCTTCATACAAGGAAACCTCATCATTTTAGGAACTGGTTTTAACTATCATCTCTCAGTACCAGTTCTTTTTGAGGAAACGTTTTACAATGAAAAAGAAGAAAGCTTTAGTATATTGTGCATAGCTCATCCATTGGAAAAAACAGAAAGCCCAAGTATGTATTGAAGTGTTAACTTGGTGGTCTTGTTTGCACAGTGAGCAAATTAGTGTGTCTGATATGCTTAATACATTTCCTTCATTCTGAAAAGTGTTGGCTTGGTTGAAAGCTCTTCACAGTTTCTGGTCTGCTGGGGTGGGTGTTGGTGTGCTGCTGGAGAGAAATACTAGGTTGCTGCCTGGCAAACTTAAATCTGTAGGGTCTATGCCCCAGTTTTAGCACTACAAATCTCTGCAGAATACTTGATCCAGCATGATTTTTTAAAATCAATGCTCAGTTTAGTGCTGACTTATTAAAAACTATGTGACTTAGTCTTAAATGTGACATTTGTCTTGAGATGTAAGATGGATGCACAAAAAACCGGAGAGCTAAATTCTTTCATGATCACCTCATCGGTGGTAAGAGTTTGTATAGCATAGTTTGGTTGCAGCTCTTCTGGTGGTGGTCTGTCTCAAGAAGCTGAATGCATTAATTTTTGTGTACTGAAAGTGCTCTTGGTAAGGCTGGAACGCTGTTTTGAAGACTTCTATTAAAACTTTGAATGTAAAGGGATTTCCTTTTGTATTTGTATAACGGTTTGTGTTTACTAATTAAAAAGAACAGATGCTTCTTAAGCATATGCTTTTTCTGAAATAAAGGTACCTAGTCTTCCTAAATACTTAACAATACCATTTTGAAACAAATGGTGACAGTGAAGTAGTATTAGGGTGGTGTGAAAATAGTGCTGTGAAGGAAGTATGAAAGATTTTCTTAAAAAAAAAAACAAAAAACCCAAAAAAACCCGCACAACCGAAAAACCCACAAAAACCTGACATACATACTGGCTTAAATTCTATAAATATTAATCAAAAAATAAAAACTACTGTGGCATTCCTCTTTTGGACATTACTTAATGTAGTTGTATAACAGTCCTTCAGAAGTGAGGTAATTTGTCATTTCAGAAGCAATTTGAAATGAATGAGATCTAAACCTGTTATTAATTGGCCGCCTTTAGTTGCGAATGAAAGACTTGCTTAGAAAAAAATTTTTGGAAAAGCATTATGAATTTTAAGTGAAGGATCCAGTTGTCTTTTTTAGAAGGCAAGTGGATTTGGTTTAATGCTTACATGGAAGCAACTTTGCTTTCCTGTTCAGAGAAAGTGCATCTAAATAAAGAACAGGTTATATAAAAATCCAAGATGGGATTTTTACAGCTTAGGGCAGACTGACTTCCTGCACGGGCATTCAGTCAATACTGTAATGTGGTTTTCCTCTACTTTCAAGCTTGACTTGCACTCACATTGAAGTATGTGTGGCAATAATTGCCCCAGGGTAAGAAAGCATGTGAAATCAGCTTTAGCTATTACAAATAAATACTTGACATAAGGCAAGAGACCTTACTCTAAATGTGGTGCATTAAATGATCTTAATTAAAAGTAATACCTTCAGTTAAAGGTATAGTAAGTTGAATTAATGTTTCAGTGCACACAAATTGGCTGTGTATGTAGGGACAGAAAGTACTTTACCATGCATACATATTAAACCTATGTGTTAATTCTTGGCTTTCGTTTTAGGTGAATCTGCAGCTTCATCAAACTTGTATTCTCTTAAAAATATTGAAGATGTTAGAGAATTCTTGGGAAGGCACTGTGAGAGATTTGATAAATACATAGGATCTTTCTATAGAACATTTAAAGAACATGAAAGGAAAAGCCTCCGCCACTACATAGTCAGTATATTGCTTCTTGATGTTTAATTATAAATTAAACTAGACACAATTCACTTCACTGCTTTGGATATCTTTGTCTTATTGAGCTTTTCTATGTTAGAGTAGTCTAGAATTGAGGAAGATGGGAGGGGAGAAAGTGAATTTCTTAATTGTGGATTGCCACATATTAAGTAAAGGCAATTTTTCTAGCTAAAAAACTTACCATAGTACATACTTCTAAAGCATGGAAAACTTCCTTTCTTTGTGTATTTATGCTTTGTTGCTTCAAGTCAAATAAACCCAAATCTGAATGCTTTTTTTTCCTCCCCACCTAGGATTCTGTCAATGCACTTTATACCAAATGTCTCCAGCATCTTTTGAGAGATTCGCACTTGGTAAACACTTGCTCCACTAAATACATAGTACATAGTTAATTAAGCAATAAATTATCTAACTTTCTCTTGCTGTTTGTATGGCTTTCCTTTTCTAGAAGATGCTTGCAAAGCAAGAAGAGCAGATGAATCTGATTAAACAAGCAGTTGAAGTAAGCATCTGAAATGAAGGAAAATAATTAGCAAGCTATTTTTAACTGTTACTTTCATGCCTAAAGTTCTGTTGTTTGGTTTTTTTCTACAGATGTATATACACCATGCTATTTATGGTCTAGTCTTTAAATATGTGGGGACTATTGAGGCAAGTGAGGTAGGTTTGTTTGATTACTAAGGACAAGTTACATTAATCTAATAATCTAATGAATTTTTAAAAACTGTTGCCTCTCTATTGATTAGGATGCTGCTTTTAACAAAATCACGAGGAGCCTTCAAGACCTGCAGCAGAAAGACATTGGAGTGAAGCCTGAGTTCAGGTGAGAGAGATTTATGCAATCTGAGGAATCACTGAGATCTTGTCTTAAGTAGGTCTGAGGCCAGCCAAGAAGTCCCTTACTTCAGACAATAACAAGTTTTTCTTATAGCTCATTCCTTTGAGAGGGAGAAACAAAGTTTTGCAAGTGTAATTTTAAGGCAGTCTTTGCATTGATAATTTTCTCCTTTGCTTTTTATGTTCTTGTGCTTTCCCCCTCCATGTACAAGGTACAGAAATGCAAGTGTACTTGGAGTAGGGATGGAAATACTTTAATAACATTCTTCATTTCAGCTCTGAATAAGTTAAAGCTTGCGGGGTTTTTTTATCTTGCAAAGGAGCTCTGTGTTAACCACTTCTTTAAAACTGTTTTGTAGTTTTAATATACCACGTGCAAAGCGAGAACTGGGTCAGTTGAACAAATGTACTTCCCCTCAACAGAAGCTACTTTGTCTACGAAAAGTGGTACAAATTATTATGCAATCTCCTAGCCAAAGAGGTCAGTAATTAGTGAATTAATAACTTAATTTTAGACTTTTTTCTTAACCAGTATGCAGAAAGCACTTTCATATATACACAGGTGTTTGAATAGCAATTGTGGATTAAACACAATTAGACTGAGGTTTGCCTTGCAGACCTCTGAACAAAACAAAATGGAGACCAAATTGTTTCTCAGGGAGTGAGGTGGGCTACTTGGTTAGTTTATATATGTCTTAGCTATAACATGTGAGAAGATTGCATGTACTAGAACACTTTCTCATGCAGAAGAATTGAGAGTGATCCGTTTTAAACACTGAGGATTGCTGCTAGATCATTCTTTTGTATTTGTCCATACTCCTTGATGGTCTTGAAATTGATACTCTTGAGATGCATTTTTTGCAAAATGCAGTGTTGGTGGAGGACAAACAAACCTTCTGTATGCTGCATTCAATGTGCTACCGTGGATTCCAGTAATGATTCTGTGGTAGGAAAGCATGGATCTCTTAACCTGATACTTATTTTATCTAGCCTGGAGAGAGAAGATACTTCCACTAAGCAGGTGGAGTAGTACAGTGAT